CATGATGGAAAGGATAGATTCAGAGGTGTTGCTGTTTGCAAATGATGTGAAACTAATGAGGAGAATTCAAGTGGATGAGGATCAGGTAGGACTACAATGGTTCTGAACAGGCTGCAGGCCTGGTCCAGCAACTGGCTCCTGGAGTTTAACCCCACCAAGTGCAAAGTCATGAAAACTGGGGAAAGGGCAAAGAAGACCGCAGACAGAGTACAGGCTAGAGGATGCCAAAAAGTCGGATGAGTATAATACCGAACACATCTCCTGAGGCGCACATCAACTAAATAACTGCTGCAGCATACGGGCGTCGGCAAACCTAAGTATAAGTTTCGACACCTCTTACAAGACTCTGTACACCGTGTACGTCAGGCTCATACTGGAGTATGCAGCACCAGTCTGGAACCCACACCTGGTCAAGAATGTCAAGAAATTAGAGAAAGTGCAAAGGTTTGCAACAAGACTAGTCCCGGAACTAAAGGGTATGTGTCCTACGAGGAGAGGTTATGGAAGATCGACCTGACGACAATGGAAGACAGAAGGGATGGGGGAGGGGCATGATAGAAACTTATAAAACACAGAGAAACTGATAAGGTGGATAGGGACAGTGTTTTCAGAGATGGGATACACCAATAAGGGGTCACAATTGGAAGTTAAAAACTCAGATGAGTCACAGGGATGTTAGGAAGTATTTCTTCAGTCACAGAGTTGTCAGAAAGTGGAAGAGTCTGGAGAGTGATGTAATGGGGTCAGGATTCATACTTATCTTTATGAAGAGGTACGATAAAGCTCATGGTGCAGGGAAAGAGAGGACTTAGTAGCGACCAGTGAAGAGGCGGGGCCAGGAGCTATGGATCGACCCCCTGCAACCACAATTAGATGAGTACACACACACACACACACCGTGTACGTCAGGCACATATTGGAATATGCAGCACCAGTATGGAATACACACCTGGTCAAGCACGTAGAATTTGGAGAAAGTGCAGAGGTTTGCAGCCACGGAATATGTCCTATGAGGAGAGGTTAAGGGAACTCAGCCTGACGACACTGGAGAACAGAAGGGCTAGGGAGGAGATATGATAACGACGTATAAAATTCTCAGAGGAACTGGGACAAAAGGAGCAACTGGGCACAACTATGAGTTGAAAGCTCTGGAGTTTACCTGGAGTTTACCTGGAGAGAGTTCCGGGGGTCAACGCCCCCGCGGCCCGGTCTGTGACCAGGCCTCCTGGTGGATCAGAGCCTGATCAACCAGGCTGTTGCTGCTGGCTGCACGCAAACCAACGTACGAGCCACAGCCCGGCTGATCAGGAACTGACTTTAGGTGCTTGTCCAGTGCCAGCTTGAAGACTGCCAGGGGTCTGTTGGTAATCCCCCTTATGTGTGCTGGGAGGCTGGGAGGCTCTGATGAGTCATAGTGATGGTAGGAAGTATTTTTTCAGTCTTAGAGTTGTCAGGAAGTGGAACACTCTGGAGAGTGAAGTAGTAGAGGCGGGATCTATACATAGCTTGAATAAAAGGTACGATTAATCCCCCCAACTCCTCGACGACCTGGAAATATAAACACTTAAACAGCATAATGTGATCCTTTATTGACAACGTTTCACCCACACAGTGGGCTTTATCAAGTCACTGTGTGGGCGAAACGTTGTTAATAAAGGATCACATTAAACTGCTTAAGTGTTTATATTTCCATTGTGTCGGTATTTTATACCATTTATTTCTTCAAAAACCTACACCTACTCACTATACAAAACATTCACTATTACTACTGTGCATCCTACATTTACAGAGGATTTTTTTTTATTATCACACCGGCCGATTCCCACCAAGGCAGGGTGGCCCGAAAAAGAAAAACTTTCACCATCATTCACTCCATCACTGTCTTGCCAGAAGGGTGCTTTACACTACAGTTTTTAAACTGCAACATTAACACCCCTCCTTCAGAGTGCAGGCACCGTACTTCCCATCTCCAGGACTCAAGTCCGGCCTGCCGGTTTCCCTGAACCCCTTCATAAATGTTACTTTGCTCACACTCCAACAGCACGTCAAGTATTAAAAACCATTTGTCTCCATTTACTCCTATCAAACACGCTCACGCATGCCTGCTGGAAGTCCAAGCCCCTCGCACACAAAACCTCCTTTACCCCCTCCCTTCAACCTTTCCTAGGCCGACCCCTACCCCGCCTTCCTTCCACTACAGACTGATACACTCTTGAAGTTATTCTGTTTCGCTCCATTCTCTCCACATGTCCGAACCACCTCAACAACCCTTCCTCAGCCCTCTGGACAACAGTTTTGGTAATCCCGCACCTCCTCCTAACTTCCAAACTACAGAGGAATATAATGCTAATATAAATCTCGACCTGAAGTATTTTCTTGATAGTTACAACAGGACCCACAGACACAATACTAGCCACTAAAATCTCTATGACTTTCTCCACGTCCAACTAAATCTTTTCAGAAATTCAATGTACATAAAAGGGCCTAAAATACGAAGAAACTATGCATGCATATTCTCAATGTCATGAACACTAAAACATTATAAACAATATATACTTTGACTACCTGTAACCCTCCCAATCGCTAAACAATTGATTGTGTTCCTTTTAAGTAAATAATCAAGCTTGCAATTCTTCTCAATTAAAGTTGTTAAAGCTATATAGCATAAATTAATAGAATATTCAATTCTCTTGTGCCACCCATCAAACATTCACAAATGAACAGCGTCGAGCTCTGTGTAAACAAAGACTCCCCCGAGGCCTTACAACTGGAAGTGCACTGAAAAATCTTATGAACCAGGGTAACACTGCTGACATTGATAATGTCTGCTGTTTATATGATTATTTTTCATTATGCTGAGAAACTGAGATCCCAGGACTTCTATAATGGATCAAAACTCGTATAAACTTTCTATTGTATCACATAAAAAGATTTCCTGACCTTCACCATAAAGTAACTATCGAACCCATTGATGTTGTGTCTACAAGAGTGCAGAGTCCCTGAAAAATTCCAACCCCCTAAATTGCCATCATTTGTTGCATATAACCTCAAATCTGCTAACTCTTGTGTTCTACATATTAAAAAATCACTTCCCCATCAACTTCTCACACATAAGAAAACAGAGAGACTACAATACCAAGGTGTTAGGATTTATGTTGGGAACTCTGCTCTCAACATATTTAACTTGTATGCTCCTGCTGATAAGTTTAATTACTTGGAGCTCCCAACTTGTGCTCAGTGTGAACCTACTCTTATTATTGGTGATTATAATGCAAGACACAAAAGCATTGGAAACTCACACTTTGGTAATCGTAATGGTAATCAACTGTTGTCACTCTTAAATAGTCATGTTAATGTGCAAACTGTAGGTGACCTTGAAGCCACACATATCTATGAAGGCGTCCTTGATCTGTGTCTTGGCTTCAACATTACTTTTGCCAGCTGTGAGTCTTCCATTGTAACAGATATATTATCAGATCATTTCCCAAGGCTAACCTCTCTAGATATTGATAATACTATCCTCCCTGGTGGGATATTCAAACGGAAACGTTTTAATGCTCCCCCTGATCACCATGATGACTTTGTCGCACATGTGACTGACTGGTATAATTCCTATGAGTGTTCCTCTGTTGAGACCTTAACAATGACCTTGTGAGCAGCATTCAGAACTCATTAGAACCGCCACTGAAACCTCTTGGTACTCTAACCCCAGCTACCATCCATAATAAATATACCTCCTATAAAAACCATACTTTTTACAATGATCCTAAACATTGAACATTGAAACGTACTGCTCGCAGACAAGGCCTAGCCTATAGAAAACATCGTACCCCTGAAATGCTGAGGCTCTTTCAAACTGCCCTTGCTGCTGCCAGAGAGCGTATGACAGAACTGCGGCAAACAGACTGGGAAAAATTTGTCAATGGTCTCAATGCTCACACCCCACTTAGCCGGGCATGGAGGGACATGAATAGAATTAAGGTTAACAGAACTAGTCAGATCGCGCACCCTCATCTCTTACAGAGGGCGAATGAGTTAGTCAGTGCTTGGGCTGCTACATCTAGCTATGACAATCTTCCCAGTACCACACAGGCGAAATTAATGGACAAACATGATGCTAGAGAGAGATTGATTTGTTTTATGCTCAGCAAGGAAGGTGGCTGTAACATTCCTTTTACTAATTCTGAACTTGATGCAGCACTAACTAAGGGCTACTCCACGTCGCCTGGGGAGGATGGTATTACCTACAACATACTCAGATTGCTGTGTCGAGTACCAGGTAATCCTTTACTCGAATTACATAACATGAGCTATGTAACTGGGGAGCTCCCTAAATCATGGACCAACAGCCTCATCATTCCAATTCCGAAGCTCAATCAACAAAACTTATCTCGTCCAATATCTCTTACTTGCTGTTTGTGTAAAACATTCGAGAGGATGATTCTTAATAGTCTCATGTACAGAATCTAACAATTTTTGTCCCCCCGGTTCCATGGTTTCATGCATGGAAGGAGCGTGCATCATTGCATAACCACCTTTCTCACTTTGTACGCTGACAGCTCATACACTTACTTCCTTGACATTAAATCTGCTTTGATGTAGCCAACCGATGTGTAATCATTAGCGAACTTGCCAGAATGGATGTTGGAGGATGGCTTCTCCGCTGGATTAAACGCTACCTGTCCTTACTTAATGCTATGTCTAGCCAGCCCCATCATTATATGATTAGTTTTGCTGGTAAGCAGTGCTGAAAGATCTATTCAGTCCCTTATAGTAGAGAATTATTTGTGCCGTATAGGTTATATGCAGCCTTAATAACCCTCGTGTAGTCGATAGGCTTTAAACCCAATATACCAACCAATAGCTGTGCTAATAGCCAGAGCACAATATAGAATTTGACAGCAGTACAGGTAACAATGGTAGTTTTACCACAGTAATTTCTATCAGTTTCAGAATTACCATTAACAAAAAAATTAGACAGGAAACAGTGGTGGACTCACCCACAGCTCTCTGTGTGAAATCTGCTCCACACGCCACCAACATGGTTACCAAATCATTGTTGGAGTAGGCGATGGCCAAGTGAAGAGCGCTCGCACCTGCAGGCAACCAAGTTTACAGTGGTGTGAATTTGTTGCAGTGGTGTTACATTGTTACAGATATATATATATAATATATTTTTTTTTATTATAACTATGCGATTACCAACCATAGGAGGGTGGCCCGAAAAAAAAATAAATTTCAATCATCATTCACTCCATACACTGTCTTGCCAGAAGGGTGCTTAACACTACAGTTTCTTAAACGCAACATTAAACACTAAGTCCTTTCAAGTGAGCATGTATTCCTCTCAGGATCAAGCCGGCTCCGTTTACTGAACCTTTTCATAAATGTTACTTTGCTCAACTCCAAACAGCACGTCATAGAAAAACATTTGTCTCCATTCATCCTATCAAACACGCTCACGCATGCGTTCTGGAAGTCCTAGCCCCTTGCACACAAAACATCTTTACGTCCTTGTCTCATCCAACCTTCTAGGCGACCCTACCCTTACTTACACTACAGACTGAATACATTCGTTTGAAGTCATTTGTGCGAAATCATTCCTACACATTTTCATTGTCCTAACACTGCAAAACCCTTCATCAAGCCCAAGGACGAACAGTTTTGGTATTCCCGCACCTCTCCTAACTTCCAAATACGAATTCTCTGCATTATTATTACACCACATTGCCCTCAGTATGAATTCTCCATATATATATATATATATATATATATAATTATATTATTTTATTTGTATATGTAGTTTATATGATATGTTTTATTTTATATGTCGTGCCGAATATGTAAAACTGGTCAATTAGCAAGAACTCATTTAAAATTAAGTCCTCTCTAAATTTTTCTCTTATACATTTAAAGATATATTTTTTCATTAATGTTAATGTAAAAAAATTAATTTTGGACCAAAAGAAACTTAGAAAACTTACCTAACCTTATTATAACAACAACAATTTATTTTAGCCTAACCCAACTAAATATATTTTAGATTTGTTTACAATAATTTAATACTAAACAAACACAGTGAAATATATTTTTTTCGTTAGGTTCAGAATGATTTTGGCGAAATTATTGCATACACAAATTTTCACTTGTCATATATGGCAAGATGAGCGTTGCTATTTAAGCCAAGATCGCAAGTTCTGCCTATTCGGCACGACTTATATATACTTAGTGGCTACTTTATTAGGTACACCATTCAACTAATGGGTAGGGCCCCACTTTGCCCCTCACAGCAGCCTAAAATTTTTCGTAGAATGGATTCAACAAGGTGCTGGAAGCAGTGCTTTAGAGATTGTGGTCAATATTGACATAATACCATCACGCAATTGGTGAAGATTTGTCGACTGCAAATTCATACAGAGAATCTCCTGTTCCAACACATCCCAAAGGTTTACGCCAAATTCTGACCCTACCATCTGCACGTCGCAGCAGAAATCGTGATTCGTCAGAGAAGACGACGGTTTTCCTGTCTTCAACTGTCCCGTTTAGGTGAGTCTGTGTCCACTGTAGCCTCAGTTTACTATTGTTAGCTGAAAGGAGTAGAACCCGGTGTGGTCTTCTGAACCCATCCTCTTATAGGTTCAAAGCGTTGTAATACATGGCTGAGTTAATGTCGACTTCCTGTCAGCTTGAAATAGTCTGGCAATTCTCCTCTCACCTCTCACATTAACAAGGCGTTTTTGCCAACAGAACAGCTGCTCAATGTATGTTTCGTGTTTCTCATGCTTTTCTCCATAAACTCTAGAGACTGTAATTCGCCAAAATTCCAGATCAGCAGTCTGTGAGATACTCAAACCGCCCCGTCTGGCACCAATAATCATTCCACGGTCAAAGTCACTTAGATCACATCTTTTCCCCATTCCGAGGTGTACCCTGAACTGAACCTCTTGATTATGTCTGCATGCTTTTAGGTCCTGACAACGTGATTGGCTGATCAGATATTTGCATTAACGAGCAAGTATACAAATGTGCTTAATACAGTGTCTATTGAGTGTATATTTTCCAGTAAAATTCCTATTGATACTTCTACTACTACTACAACTACTGCTACTACTATTCCAGCTCCCGGACACTCACCCAGGTACTCCTCTCCCTCGACGACATCGAGTGCAAGCTTGGGAAAGCACTTGAGAAGGATCTTAGCGACTCGAGTGTGAGCCTTAGTGTCACACATAATGAGCACATGCAGCAAAGTCTCCCCCAGGGAACCTCGGGAAATGCCCCTGCCAAAAAGCTTCCCTGGTCCTTCCAGGGGTGCAGGGGGCGAAAAGGAAATCTTTTTTCTCCAAGTTCACCCCCACTGCAGGGAGGGGGAAAATGGGAGTTGGGGAAAATAATGGTTTTTTGATTAAAAAAAAACACAAATTTTCCCCGACTTGACGAAAAACAAATTTAAAACAAAAGGGGTTTTTTAAAAGAATATTTTTTGACGAAAATTTTTTTCTTTGGATTTAATAGAATTCCAGGAGACCGAAACAAAAAATGACGCCAATGGCAGACAATACGTTTTAAATTGCACTTTGTATAAAATTTTGATTCTTTTAAACTCTCTCTTCATTTGTAAAAAATAAGAGTAACCCCAAAGAAAACCGGAGGTTAAATTTTTTTTTTATCTCAACATTTAAATACTGAAGAATGACGAATAAGACAATGTGCCCCCTGTTGATATACTGAGAGTATACGTTAACCTCCTAAGCCTATATTAGGGATTAAATCAACTTTTACTATGGTGAACACCTACATTAATGGCCCCCCGTCCTACAAAGGTTTTTAAATTTTAACAAAAAACCAGTTAGGAGGGGCCCCCAGCCATAGCTTTTGATCAAAAACAAAATTAAAAGGATCTACGCCCCTAAATAATTAAAACACCCAAAAAATTAAAAAAGGTATACAATGCCGAGTGAGACACATGGCCCGCTGTGACACAAAGTTTCCCTTTTTTAAATTTTAAAAAGAACGAAGGAAACCGGGTGCAGCAAGCCTACTGGCCCCCTGATAAAGCAATCCAATTTACAACCCCACTAAATTTTCCCATGCAAACCCAAAAATTTTTTAAAAATACCCCAAAAATTTTTTTTTTCCCCTGGGCGCCCCCTAGGGTTTTTCCCCAAACCCAAAAATTTTCCCTTATCTTCTTTAAAACAAAAATTTTCCCCCACTTGAAAACCCCTGCAAAAAAACCTGGTTTTTGGTTACATATTTTCAACGCCCCTTTTTAAAAAAATTTTCCCTTTATTTATTTGTACACTTCATTTATGTCTTCTTTTAATTCTTCCCCCTCTCCAGGAGCAAAGGTTTAAGCATTTTCCCCGTTTTCTTTAATAGGAGAAAGGGTTTTGATTTCATGAAAAACACCTTCGTTAATTCCCTCCCTTTTTATGGTTTTTACCCACCTGGGGGTTGGGGGGTGTGTTGGGGTGTTGTGTGGTGTGTGTGGTGTTGTGTGTGTTTGGGGGTGATGGGGTTTTGTGGGGTGTGTGTGTTTTGGTGTGTGGTTTTGGGGTGCGCTGTATTCACTCAACAAATCGGTGAGTGCTTTTAAAAAACAAACCCCTTTGGGGTGTGGTGCCGTGATTCCAAACCCCCCCCTGGTTTTGTTTTTTTGCTTTTTGGGTTAACCCCCCCTCCTGGTGTGTGGGTGCTGTGATTAAAAAACCCCCCTCCTGGGGTTTGTGGGGCTGTGATTTTAAACCCCCCCCCGGGTGTGGGGTGCTGTGATTAACCCACCTCTTTTGGGGTTTTTGTTTTGCCCGTGAATTTTACCCACCCCCCTGGTGTGGTGTGGCTGTATTCACCCACCCTTGGGGTGTTGTGCTGTGATTCACCCACCTCCCGGTGGTGTTGGGGCTGTGATTAAAACCCCCCTCCTGGGGTGTGTGTCTGGTTTTCCCCCCCAAAAACCCCCCCTGGTGTTGTGTGCTGTGATTTTAAACCCCCCTCCTGGTGTGTGTTGCTGTGATTAACCCACCACCTGGTGTTTTGGTTTTTCTGTGATTCCCCCCACCCGGTGTGTGTGGTGCTGTTTAATTCACCCACCCCCCCTGGTGTTGTGGTTTCTGGATTTAAACCCACCTTTTTTGGGTGTGTTTCTGTGAAACAACCCCACCCCTGGTGTTGTGTTGCTGTGAATTTACCCACCTCTTTGGGGTGTGTGTGCTGTGATTAACCCACCTCTTGGTGTGTTTTTGCTTGGAAAAATTTACCCACCTCTTGGTGTGTGTTGCGTGATTAAAACCCCCCCCTGGGGGGGTGTGGGGTGGCTTGATTTACCCCCCTCTGGTGTTTGTGTGCTGTGATTCACCCACCTCCTTTGGTGTGTGTGTGCTGTGATTAACCCCCCTCTTTTGGGGGTGTGTGTCTGTTTTATTCCCCCCCCCTCTTGGGGGGGTTGTGCCCTTTTGTTTAAACCCCCCCTTTGGGGTGGGTTGGGCGGATTCAAACCCCCCTTTTTGTTTGTTGGGGCTGTGATTTTACCCACCTCTTGGGTTTTTTTGTGCGTGATTAACCCCCCTCCTGGGGTGTGGTTTCTTTTTGATTCACCCCCCCTTGGATGTGGTTGCTTTGATTAACCCACCCCTGGTGTTGTGTGCTGTTTTCCCCCCCACCTCTTTTGGGGTGGGGTGCCCGGAAATCACCCACCCCTGGTGTTTGGTGCTGGATTCACACCCACCTCCCGGTGTGTGTTTTGCCCGGGGATTCACCCACCCCCCCTGGTGTTTTGGTGTTTTCTGTGATTTACCCACCTCCTGGTGTGTGTGTGCCGTGATTCACCCCCGCCCCTGGTGTGGGTTTTTGCTGTGATTCCCCCCCCTCCTGGTGTGTGTGGGGCTGGATTTTACCCACCTCCTGGTGTTTGCGTGATTTCCCCCCTCCCGGTGTGTGTCTGGATTCCCCCCACCTCCTGGTGTTTGTGCTTGAAACCCCCACCTCCTGGTGGTTTTTGCTGTGATTTTACCGACCCCTGGTGGGGTGGGGCTGTGATTCACAACCCCCTGGGGTGTGTGTTTCTGTGAAACACCCACCTCCTGGTGTTGGGGCGTGATTCATCCAAACCCCCTGGTTTTGTTTTGTGTGTGCTGGGGAATCACCCAACCCCCTGGTGGGGTGTGCTGTGATTACCCCCACCTCCTGGGTGTGGCGTGATTTTAACCACCTCCGGTTTGTTGTGGGGGTGCTGTGAAACACCCACCCCTGGTGTGGGTGTTCGTGATTTTAACCCCCTCCTGGGGTGTGTTTTCCTTTTATTCACCCCCCCTGGTGTGGTGTGCTTTTGAATTTACCCACCTCCTGGTGCGTTGCTTTTATTTTTTTCCACCTTTCCCGGGGTGTGTGCTGTGATTCACGCCACCCCCCTGGTGTGTTGCTGTGATTCACCCAACCCCCTGGTGGGGGTGCTTTTGAATTTCCCGACCTCCTGGTGTTTGGGCTGTGTTCACCAACCTCCTGGTGGTGTGTGGCGTGGGTTCACCCCCCCTCCTGGTGTTGTGCTGTGATTCATTCCCCCCTCCTGGGTGTGTGTGCTGTATTCAACCACCTCCTGGGTGGTGCTGGGGATTCATCCACCTTTTGGTGTTTTTTTGCTGTGATTCACGCACCCCTGGTGTGTGTGTGCTGTGATTCACCCCACCTCCTGGTGTGTGTGCTGTGATTTAAACCCAAACCCCCGGGGGCGTGGCTGTATTCACCCACCCTCCTGGTGTGGTGTTGTGAAAACACCCACCTCCTGGTTTTGTGTGCGTATTCCCCCCCACCCCTGGGGTGTGCGGGATTTTACCGACCCCTGGGGGTTTTCTGGGAAATTTACCAAAAACCCCCGGGGTTTTTTTTGTGCTGGGGATTTCCCCACCTCCTTTTGTGTGTCTGATTTTTCAAACCACCTCCTTGGGGGTTTTGTGTGCTGTGAATTTTACCAACCTCCTGGGGTTTTGTGTGCTGTGGGTTCACCCACCTCCTGGGTGTGTTTTGCGTATTCACCCACCTCCTGGTGTGTGTGCTGGATTTTACCCCCCCTCCTGGTGGGGGTGGCTTAAATTTATCACCCCCTTCCCGGTGGTGTTGCTGTTTAAACACCCACCTCCTGGTTTTGTGTGTGCTGGATTCACCCACCTCCGGGGTCTGGCTGTGATTTAAACCCCCTCCTGGTGTTGGGGGTGGGGCTGTGTTTACCAACCTCCTGGGGTGTGTGTCTGGGGAAATTTACCCACCTCCTTTTGTGGGGTGGTGTGGTGATTCACCCACCCCCTTTGTGGTGTTTCGGGGGGAATTTTACCCACCCCTGGGGCGTGGCTGTAATACCCCCCCACCTCCTGGTGGGTGTGCGGGGATTCACCCCACCTCCTGGTGTGGGGGGGTGGCTGTGAAATTTAAACCCCCCCCGGGGTGTGGCTGTGATTTTACCCCCCCTCCTGGGGTGTGGGGCTTGGTTCACCCACCTCCTGGTGTGTGTGCTGTGATTTACCCAACCCCCTTGTGGGGTGGTGTGATTTCCCAACCCCTTGGGGTGTGTTTCGGGGATTTACCCACCTCCTTTTGTGTGTGTTTCTGAATTCACCCCCCTCCCGAAGTTTTTTTCTGTGTTCACCCACCTCCTTGGGGTTTTGGGGTTTCTGTGATTCACACCACCTCCTGTTGTGTGTGCTGTGATTCACCCACCTCCTGGTGTGTGTGCTGTGATTCACCCACCTCCTGGTGTGTGTGCTGTGATTCACCCACCTCCTGGTGTGTGTGCTGTGATTCACCCACCTCCTGGTGGTGTGTGTGCTGTGATTCACCCACCTCCTGGTGTGGTGGTTTTGGGTGTGATTCAAAACCCCCCTCCCGGTGTGTGTGTGCTGTGATTCACACCCCCCCCTGGTGTGTGTGGGTGTGATTCACTCCCCCCCTCCTGTGTGTGTGTGCTGTGATTCAACCCCCCTCCCGGGGTGGTGCTGTGATTCAAAACCCCCCTCCCTGGGGTGTGTGCTGGGGATTCACCCCCTCCGGGTTTTGTCTGTGATTCAAACCCCCCTCCTGGGGTTTTGTTTCTGTGATTCACCAACCCCTGGTTTTGTGTGCGTGATTCCCCCACCTCCGGTGTGTGGTGCTGAATTTTCACCCCACCTCCGGGGGGGTGTGCTGTGTCACCCACCTTCGGTGTGTGTCTGTGATTCAACCCCCCTCCTTGGGGTGTGTGCTGTGATTTTATCCACCCCTGGTTTTTGTTTTGTCGTGATTTTCCCCAAACCCCCTGGTGTTTTTTTGTTGTT